TGGATATTAGGAAAAACTATTTCACTAGGGGGTGGCGAAGCATTGGAATGGGTTACCTAGGGAAATAGTGGAGTCTCCATCCCTAGAGGTGTTTAAGTCTCGGTTTCACAAAGCCCTGGCTGGGTTGATTTAGTTGGGATTGGTCCTGCCTAGAGCAGGGGGCTGGACTTGATGCCCTTCTGAGGTCTCTTCCAGTTCTATGATTCTATGAACTCAAGTGGAGTGCCCCTTAGGCTGACATCTGGCTGTGAGACCCACTCCAGAACTTTCAGGCTAGACTAATCTCCTGAGGTTTCCCTTCATATTACTGCTTCCTCAAGTTCTGGAACAGCCCCAAAATCAAGCAATGCCCACCTGTAGAAAGCAAACAGCCATGGGGAAAGAGAGGAGGGTTTCTTCACCTGCTTCCTGTACAACATACCTAGATAACGAGAAGTTCTGGGGCGTTAAAGACTAACAAAATATAGATAGTATCATGAGCTTTCGTGGGCAAAACCTACTTCTTCAGATGGCTGGAGAGACATAACCAAAACCAAGTACAGGTAGGACCTCTCTAGTCTGGCGCCCTCAGAACCTGACCGGTTCTGAATGAAACAATTTTCCAGACCATGGGAGTTCAGTATTGTCTAGCAGCATGACCAGCACTTCCACTGTTTACTGAGCTGCTAGGGGACATTTAGGGAGTAAATTAGAGCTAACTAACAGCACAGAACACCAAGAGCCAGGAATGGTGGCTGTAAACAACTTTATGGGACCACGGGAAACTTGGCCACATCCAAGATAAATGGACATCCAGGTAACTAAAATCATTCCAGATCACGGATATTTCCAGATCAGAGAATTCTGTACTAGAGAGATTCAATCTGTATTTTGTAACAGGGAAAGGAAGGGGAAAAAATACCCGTCAATTGTAGGACCAATGCTAATGAGGCTAATTAAGTGGCATGGAAGTGTCCCATACTTAGCTTTTGCTGTAAATATGAGGTGTTAAAGGCAAGGGAGACTGGCTTTATAATGCGACATCTAGTTAATATTACCTCAAGATGCATTCATGGTACACTCACATGTTGAATACTGTGTGAGTATGTGGTTGCACCCATCTCAAAAAGGATATAATTGGAAAAGGTACAGAAAAGGGCTACAAAAATGAGCAGGGATATGGAACAACTTCATTACAAGGACAAATTCATACAACGGGGACTTTTTTGCTTGAAAAAGGGTCGGTTAAGGCAGGATATGACCGTGGCCCATAAAATCATGACTGGTGTAGACAAAGTGTATACAGAAGTGTTATTTACTCCTTCCCATAACACAAGAATTGGCAGAAGGCTGAGAACAAACAAAAGGATGTTTTTCTTCACTCAGCGCACTGTCAACCTGTGGAACTCCTCGCCGGGGGATGTGGTCCAGGCAAGGCTGGGTTTGATTTTAACAAATAGGATTTTATTTTAACAAATAGGGAGGAACTAGTTGAGAACTTGAAAGTGGAAGACAGTATAGGGGACAGTGATCACGAAATAATAGAGTTCATGCTCTTAAGGAAAGGTAGAAGGGAGACCAGCACAATTGAGGTAATGGATTTCAGGAAGGCAGATTTTGATAAGCTCAGAGAACTTGTAGGTAAGGTCCCATGGGAAGCAAGACTGAAGGGAAAAACAACTGAGGAGAGTTGGAAGTATTTCAAAGGGACGTTGTTAAGGGCCCAAAAGCAAACAATTCCGCTGTGTAGGAAAGATAGAAAATATGGCAAAAGACCAGCTTGGCTTAACAAGGAGATCTTGCACAATCTCAAAATAAAAAAGGAGTCATATAAAAAATGGAAACTAGGACAAATAACAAAGGATGAATATAGGCAAGCAACACAGGAATGCAGGGGCAAGATTAGAAAGGCAAAGGCACAAAATGAGATCAAACTAGCTACAGGCATAAAGGGAAACAAGAAGACCTTTTATAAATACATTAAAAGCAAGAGGAAGACCAAGGACAGGGTAGGCCCACTGCTCAGTGAGGAGGGAGAAGCAGTAACAGGAAACTTGGAAATGGCGGAGATGCTCAATGACTTCTTTGTTTCGGTCTTCACCGAGAAGTCTGGAGGTGTGCCTAACGTAGTGAATACAAGCAGAGAGAGGGTAAGTTTAGAAGATAGGATACACAAAGAACAAGTTAAAAATCACTTAGGAAAGTTAGATGTCAGCAAGTCACCAGGTCCTGATGAAATGCATCCCAGGATACTCAAGGAGCTGATAGAGGAGGTATCTGAGCCTTTAGCTATGATCTTTGAAAAATCATGGCAGACAGGGGAGATTCCAGAAGACTGGAAAAGGGCAAATATTGTGCCCATCTATAAAAAGGGGAATAAGAACAACCCAGGAAACTACAGACCGGTCAGTTTAACGTCTGTCCCAGGGAAGATAATGGAGCAGGTAATTAAGGAAATCATATGCAAACACTTGGAAGGTAATAAAGTGATAGGGAATAGCCAGCATGGGTTTGTGAAGAACAAGTCATGCCAAACTAATCTGATAGCTTTCTTTGATAAGATAACGAGCCTTGTGGATAAGGGAGAAGCGGTGGATGTCATATACCTAGACTTTAGTAAGGCATTTGATACGGTCTCGCATGATATTCTTATTGATAAACTAGGCAAATATAACTTAGATAGGGCCACGATAAGGTGGGTGCATAATTGGCTGGATAACCGTAGTCAGAGAGTTGTTGTTAACGGTTCTAAATCCTGCTGGAAAGGGATAACAAGTGGAGTTCCTCAAGGGTC